TCGGCTGGGGCTCAGGCAAATGCTTCAAAAAGTGATAAGAGAAAGAAGTCATCATCTTTTGGGGATCAGTATTTTGTCATTTTAAAGTATTAAAGCGTTTGCATTATTGTTCATTTGTCTTGTTTAGTTCAACTTTAGCTTGCAATGATGAGTCAAGTTTATGGCGATGACCGGTATGACTGTGCAAGCACTTGGCATAAAAATTGTCACTTTTGTTGTGCACAGTCAGCAGCATATTTTCATGGCAGTTTTCTCCAAAAACCGTTGCTGTTTATTGCCGATCGATCTCTTCTTTCTTGTGCTTTCATCTCAGCTCTCCCAGCTTTCAACACACTTTACAAGCCCATATTTTTACCTCTTTACCTACTTATGCAACCGATCAGTCTCCCACTGCCTGTCTGTCTGCCCTGGAATCCGATCTTCTTTAGCTGAACAAAATTGCCGCGCTCATCAATCGTCAACTCATCGACTTGGGCTCATCTCTCTTTCTCAGTGTGCATCCTCCTCATCCACCTCACCCACCATCACCACCTGTCCACACATCAGTTTGAGATGTTTTCACCACCATCACCACCACTTCTCACGGATTCACCACCATCACCACCACCATCAGCACGGACTCTTCAGGTTTGTGTCTGCTTTCTAATTGCTTTAATTAGACTGGTGATGCTTTATTTTGAAAGAACGAGATCCTCTGGCTCAAGGTTGACCGAGCCCAAGAAAAGCCTTTGGTGCTCTTCTTCTTCTTCTCAGCATCTCCTGCTGCCCACGACTGCCTAATTAAGCAGTCGGGTGATTAATGCCCCCGTGATCACTGCCACCACTTCTTCGGCACCACTCTTCATGGTGCACCGGTGATCGCTGAGTGATGGCTGCTGCTGCTGCTGCCACTGAGCATGCCAATTACTGAGGCAAAGGATTGCCAGACAGACGGATTTGGATGCAGAGATTAGCATCGATGAACGTCGCTTGTCTGCTGATAAGCATCACACCCGATGTTCTATGTTTGGCAGAACAGTGTACAGACGGACGGGGGTGATCGTGATGCGCGCTTGTGTGTTTATTTGCTGATCCAGCTCAGGCAGCCAACAGCTTGGCCGATTATCGATAGGGTGCTCTAGTTTGATGCCCAGACCTTTTGGCCTCAATGCTCAATGACAGGCAATGGCGCTATTCTCTCTCCCTTTTCCCTCGCCAATTTAGAATCCTTTGGTAGCGGTAGTGGTGGTAGCAATAATAATGACGCCACCGATTATGACCGTCAAAATATTGTTGCCAGTGCAAGGAAATTTTGACAGACATCTCAATCTCTTTACTTTTTTTTATAAAAGGGGTGATGTTTACACTCCACTTTGCTCTGGCTGACTTTGACCTACTTCATTTCGACAGTTGGCGCCCACGCGCCACTAACTACTACTTGAAAAGATTTCTAAAGCTGCTTCTCGTTAGTTGTTCACTTTTTGTATTTATTTATTATGTTATGCTATGAGTGGGCATGTTTGGGAGATGGTACACAAAAGGGAGTAAATAAATAAGTTAAGAAGAAATAAATAATAATAACAGCGAGTGATGATGGTGAGCAAAGGAGTAGAAATAAATAAGGTAGTTGGATAGATGTGTGAAAAGAAGAGGAATATGAGATGAGAAACTTCACAAGAAAAAGAAGAAGAAAATTGACAGACGATTCAAGTTCAATAGAAAGAAAGAAAGAAAGAAAGAAAAAAGCGAGATTTCTATGAGTAAGACTGATGGGACCTAAAAAGAAAAATAGAGAATGGGAAAAAGAAAAATGAGAAGAAGTGAAGGACCCGAGGAAAAGCAGAGAGAGAGAGAGAGAGTATTTGACAGAGAAGTTTGAGGTGGTAGTGATTTGTTTACATCGAGGGACAAGTTTACTTTTATTACAGTTTCCTAGTTTTTGTGGTGGTTGAAAAGATGGTGATTAGTAGTTTGGTTGATGGTTGTAGTTCATTTTAGTTGCTATCTGTTGGCTGGTGCTGAGCGGCAGCAGCCTGATCTTCACTGGAATGTCCCTCCTGGTGACCAGCTCCACTTGCTCCAGGACCCGATTCGAAGTAATACAGTGGTCCATCAGCAGCCTGGTCAGACATCATGCCCTGGTCGTGGCCCTCCACCATCATTGACTGGTCCAATTGGGAAGAGGAAGGCTGTTGTTGTTGATTTGAGGAGGAAGAGGAAGAAGAGGAGGAGATGCTCTTGCTGATGCTGACGCTGGTGCTCGTTACGCCGCTGATGGAGGAGGGCGTGCTGCTGCTGGTCACAGATGAGGTACCTGCCAGCTGGTCAATGTACTGGCCTAGTTGCTGCTGCTGAGATTGTTGTTGAGATTGGTCAGACTGGAAGGAGAAGCTTTGCTGCTGTTGGTTGCCGTTTGAAGGCTGTTGCTGCTGTTGGCTGATTGGCTGCTGGGTGTAGTAGCTGGTGATTGAGCTCGGTTGCTGCTGCTGCTGCTGTTGGGTCTGTTGTTGAGTGTTTTGCGTCCACTGACTCTGCTGGCCGGGCTGGGAGGGCGGGTTGCTAAGAAGAACTGATTGGGTCCACTGGCCTAGAGGAGAGGAGGATTGAGGCTGCTGTTGCTGTTGAACTTGCTGCTGTTGATTGTAGGCGGTGGGAAGGGTGCCCAACTTCGACTGAACTTTGGTGAGAATCTGACTGGAGAGCTGCTGATTCGGGGCGGCGGGGCTGCCGAGGAACTGTCCGGGAAACTGGGCAATTTGGGGCTGAGCTGGTTGAGCGGGTTGGGGATGGCGAGGGGCGGCCTTTCGGGCAATCTTGTTGAAGAGCTCCTTGGAACGGGCGTACAGGCCGGATGAGTGGTGGGGCTGCTGTTGGTGGTGTTGGTGGAGGACGGGAATTTGCTGCGATTCAAGGGGCTGCATTCGGGTGCCGTAGGGGATCACCTTGGAGGAAGGCTGCTGCTGCTGCTGTGATTCAGCCGATGACATGCCAAAGAGTGCCTGCTGCAGGGCCTGGTTGAACTGGGCACTGGTGGTCGGGTCAAACTGCTGAGAGTTGAACTGAACCGGCTGGCGGTTGTATTGTTCCACTGCTGCCTGGTGAATGAACTGCGAGTTGCTGTTTTGAACTCCGGAGTTTGATGAAGGTTGCTGCTGTTTTTGAAAATTGGCAAAGTTTCCGTTCCACTGCTGTTGCTGTTGAGGTTGCTGCTGTTGCTGTTGTTGCCAGTTTCCCTGCTGTCTCTGATTACCTCCATTACCGCCGGTTATCTGCGGCTGAGCGGCGGCAAAGTGGTACACGTAGGGCGACTCCATCGACTGGCGGCGCTTAAAGTTGAAAACTCCGCCGTTTCCTGAAGAGCTTTGGCCGTTTGAGTTTGCACCCGAATCTTGCGACTGACCGGTAAAGCCGGCAGCTGCGGCGGCGGCCGCTGCGGCAAGGTTCGATTCAGTCAGCTGTGCTCCACCACCAGCTCGATTCGGCTTCAGGTAACTGTAGAAGGACTTGATGGTGCTGAAGAAGGAGTCCTTGAGGGGTACGGTGGCGCTGACGGCCGCCTCGCCCGCTCCGGAGATCTTCTCGCCGATGCTCTTGTAGATGGCTTTAGGAAACTCAAAGAGCAGCTTTTTGCTCGGCTTGCCAATGTTGGAGCTGAGGAAGGAGCCGACGGTGGACATCAGGCCGGAGTTAACGCCGGCGTTGCCAGCTGGGTTCATTGGGTTACCTCCTCCTGCGGAGTTCATAGTGTTCAGTGCAGTGCTGATCATTTCATTGATGGCGTTGATGTTGTTGATGTTGAACTCGCCTGGTGCACCAACGTTTCCACCGGTACTATCGGGAATGGCGTTCAGACTGTAGAGGGCGTTGTCGAGGGGACTGCCCTTTCCACTGCGGCGGCCAATGGGACGAAAATTGAAGCCGGAGGTGATGCTGTTCATTAGCGACTGCAGCGAGCTTGAGGGAAGGGTACTTCGGTAGACGGTGGACGGCTTTTGGACGTACTGGCCGTTGTACTGGTTGATCAACGACTGGATCAGCTTGTTGTTGTTTCCATAGGAGAGTGGACCGTTGAAACTGTTCATTGTTCGCTTGACCGGAACCGGTTTGGTGAGCTGTTTTGGCGGAGGTTGAGGCTGTCCGGAGGGGGAGGTGTGTCCGGAGGAGGATGCTACAGCTGCGGGAGTTTGCGGAGGATGAGCAGCTGGTACGGAAGTTCGCTGGGGAACGGTGCGCTGTTCATTGGTGCTGGAAGGTGGGGTTTTGTTGATAGTTTGGGGTTTGGGAGGAAGTGCTGGTGCTGGGGCAGGAGCTGATTGAAGGGGAATGGTTAGGGGAGCATGTTGAAGAGGGGTCAAGGGGTCTTTGGGGGGTTGAGACGGTTGGCCTTGCTTTGCTATCGTCTGACTAGTGACGACTTGAAGCAAGATTGGTAGGAGCAGAAAGCCTGGAATAGAAGAGTGTGAAGTTTAAATGAAGTTTTAAAAAGTGAGGGTTTTGTTACCTAGGAAAAAGTGCTTCTGCAACATGGCTGCTGCTTGCTGTTGAGTGAGGGGTCAGTGGTGAAGGTTTGCAAAATGAACAAACGGTAGTGTTTCACCTGGCCAAAGTTGATGCTAAACAATTTGCAGTCAAAAGTCGACCGAACGCGAATCTGTCTTAAGGACGTCCAGCCGTGAAATGAACGGTGCTTCAGTGACGGCGTGCGGCTTCTATCTCTTCGCTTTTGGAAGAAGATATCGATGGCGGTCAGTACCTACCACACTACTGGGTGCTACTCTTCCATGGGTCAGACTGCGATGGGCAGTGGTCAGTTCAGTTCTCTCTCCTCTTTCTCTTTCTCTCTTCTTCGATCTGCGAACTGACACTGCAACGGTGCCGATTAGCCGGTGGCCAGTGCTGCTCCTGCCGCCGATGCTGATAATTGGCCACGACCCACCGAAGAAGAGCTCTCTTTTTCTCTCTCCCGTTTTAGCAGCAGCACACTTTACTCTACNTCCTGCCGCCGATGCTGATAATTGGCCACGACCCACCGAAGAAGAGCTCTCTTTTTCTCTCTCCCGTTTTAGCAGCAGCACACTTTACTCTACTCTGATCGAATGCGATTAGACAGCAGCAACGGTACTCTCTCGTTTCAAACAGAAGAGGATGCAGGGCTGATGCGAGGCACCTCGCACTCGCTCACTCACCTGCCTGGCAAACAGAACACATACATAGGCAAACAGACGGACAGACACATAGTCAGACAGACGAGCAAACTGCCTCCGTAGGTGGCTTGCTCCTCTTCGTCTGTTGTTGCTGTTGAATTTTTTCTTTCCCGTTGCACAAGCAAGGTCAAGGCTGCTGCTGCTGCTGCTGCTGCCTCGTAGCACAGTGCTCCTGGTACCGATCGGGAAATCGAATGCTCGACATTTGCTCCCTCTCTTTCTCTCTCTCCCTCTCTTGTCTACCTCTCATCATCATCAACAGACTCACGTAGATCTGCTGCTGCTGCCGCTGGCCCTGCAGCTACTGCGCTTTCTGCCGCCTCTTCTCAGCTCTGGTCGTCGTCGTTGTTTCAGCAGCTATCACCGTTAGCCACCGTTCAGAATTGCTGCTGCTGCTACTTCGGCCCACGAGGAACGCGAGGAATGCGCAAGCTAGCAAAAGCTGTTGCTGCAGCTTTGCAATTAGTCCTCACAGTGCAATCTCAATAGCAAGAGCAAAATGTAAGGCAGTGTTGGTGGACAGATTAAATGGTGGCAATCCATTGGCAGTGATTGGGGAAGGAGAAGAAGAAGATGGCAGAATGCTTTTTCTCTGATGTCAGGTATCAGGGCCAAGTGGGGATTACTGGTGCAGACTTGAGGAAAGGGGGGGGGAGATTAAAATCTAGTGATCAAGATGATTTGCATAATTGCTCCATTATGCTGCTGTTGTTCGCTAGTGTGCTAGTGTTTTGTTTTAGAAGAATTTGCATTTTTAAGCTTACGGTTTATGAGCACGAGAATTTTATTTTTATAGTTCATTTTTAACATTTTTTTGCTGTAAAAAAGATGAGGCCACCAATGAAGATTGCATCATTTTACCCTCCGACATTTTCTTGATCAACCTTTTTGTTGCTTTTGACTCTCTGATTTTGACCGCAATTTTTCAGCATGACCGGTTGATCATCAGCATCAGCTGACAATGGCTGATTGATTATGTACCCCTCCACTGATTTACCCCTGACCACTCTGCTGGAGATCAGTCAATCAGCAGTGTTTCCTCGACTGCCAGATTAGATTAGATGTTCAGGCTTGGAGGGCCTGAGGTTTAGTCTATTGTTTCCGACTTCGGTGTTGTTGTTTTCCCCTGTGCTGATGCTCAAATGAGCTAATTTAATTTGCTAATTTATGGACGCCTGTCGACTGTTGTCTGCTGAGAAGAGGATGAAGAAGAAGAAGAAGGTTCAATGCAGGCTCAATTCAACTTCAGGTTTTTTCTGGCGATTGAGATTTTGCTATTTTTGCCTACTACTACTACTACTTTTGGGGTATCAAGTCGCAAGGCAGTTTAAATCTTTGACTTTTAAAGCCGTTATTCAAAACTGTTAGTTGGCATACACAATAACTGAGAGAACTGCTCGCCTAGATTTTTTGCAGTTGTAGATGCTTTTGTGTCTTGCCTAACAAGCACTCTTTTCTTTTTTTCCGATGAGAAAAATGCTAAAAATTTATCTGCCCAGATAGCCAATTTTTGAAAATATCAATACTTTAGATGCCCTTGGTCTTTTTTTGAAAGAAATTAGAAATACCAGCTGATTGCGGTTGATAGATTTCGTAGAAGCAGCAGCAGTCATCTGATCAAATAATGAGCACAATAATTTGTCAAGTTTCTTGTTTCTCATCTTTTTCTCTCTGTCTCCTCTCTGCAATTAGCAGCCACTAGAAAAGGGGTGAAAAGTGCCACTATCGCCGTCATTAGAGGAAGCTCCGGGTGACCTGAAAAGAGGAAGACCAAAGTGGTATTAGTATTACTGTCCCGTAATTAGCGTGCCTGATGCTGCTGCTGCTGCTTTGTGTGTCAGGTAGCTCCTGCAACAGCAACTTTGGTGTCCGTGTACACACACTGTTTGTTCGTGTGTGTAATCTGTAGACTACCACCTTTTAAAGATGGTGATGTTTTTATTTATTTAAACGGGCGCCTGATTGATGGAAAAAGCTGGGCTGTTACCTCTTTTTTCCTCTCCCTCTTTCTCTTGCGACACTTGCACCGAGCTGGTGAATGTGTGATAAGCTTTTCTCCTTTTCGTCGAACTCTTTGATGCAAAGTGCGAGCAGAAGTGCTTTCAGCAGTGAATTGTGGCGAGCTATTTCGAAATCGATCAGTGAGCTATTTTTGAGCCACTTTTTTTTGCTGCTTTTGCGCCGCTTCCCTATTTCTCCTTTTCCCCTGCACTGCTGATGTCATTGGTGTTCGTGATGCATTTCTTTTGCCGACATCCCCTGAGGTGAAACAAGCACACACACAGAGACACAGCACTGATATGTACCGCTGAAGATGTGTAAATTTAATTAACGCACTACTGCTGAAAAGAGGGGAGAAGGGATGCTGCTGATGCTACTTCTGCTGCTGTCCTTTATCATCGTTGAAAGGAGACCAGTACATCGTAGGGAGAATGATGATGATGATAATGACGAAGACCACTGCAACGGTGGTGATCTGTCCGAATCAGTTGCCACAGCTGCTCGGTGATTGATCCGAGAGAAAGAGGAGATCAGTCAGTAAGTCAGCCAAAGTTAGAAAGCTGCTGTCCGTTTTGTTGTTTTACCTGCAACCACTTTGACATTGACACAATGCCCGAACTTGCAGCAAAGGGATTTCATTGAAACAGATTTTTATTAGAAGAACTAATGGTAACTAGTCAATAGATGGACTAAAACTTCAATCTGTTCTCTCCTCAGCTGTTTCTCTCTATTCGTCTTCTCGATAATCGGCATAATGGCCACTTTGCTGACGATGCTGCTGTTTTTTTATTATTCCCCCTACCGCAAAGTCCTGGGCGTCTCTTTACTTTTTATCTTTGCTCGCTTTTCTGCGGTCGTTGTTGTTGTTGGTCAGTGATCACGACCGATCAGTACCGAGAGATAGATGGAAGAAAAGGGGGATATGTGCCAACGAGTGTATAATACCGAAATCGATGTCAATTTGGGCGCAGAGAAAGGTTGCAACCGTTGCTGCCGTTGCTGCTGCTGTCCTCGATCGTGCACTCTAGTCTTCTTCTTTTTTTTCTGCATTCTATTTTTTGTTACTGCCACCACCATCACCACCACTACCACTCGTCCTAATGCACTAATGACATAATAAGCCTAATTTGTTTCTCTAATTATAGATTGGTGGCAGTGATCTGGCCAGCTAAGCAAGTCAAAGATGATGATGATGATTTACTATTTGCACATTCTGACTGACTGGCCGGTCGAACGATCGATCTGGCTATAAAGAGTTGTCAGCCACCAGCAAAGGTGAAATGATTGGCCTTATCTGATTGTTGTCTTGATGCTACGATCTTTTTGCTTTCTTTTACGTTTAGCACCCGAACAGCGGCTGATTGATTGAGCAGGGCAAATTGGCCCAGAAATGCTTGCGCTCAGTGTCATAAACGGGGAACATTTGTCTTTCCGTTTTTGAATTCTGTTTTTAAAGACGATGATTGCTCGATTTTGTAGATATGTTTTGATCAATAATGATAATAAGCAGCAGTAGTAAAAATTAGGTTATCTTGATACCAAGAAGGAGAAGGTCAAGATCAAAGACAACAACATCAACAACGGGCCTAACTGATTCTCTACTATGCTATTTTGCCCAATTTGCCTATTACCGCATATTTCTTCATCTTAATATTCTTTTTTGAAAGAGGGTAATTTGCCGGTAATGATACACTCTTCTGGCATCCTCGCTTGCATCTTCAGCTTTGGCCAGTTTATGGGTGTCTGCCATTGTCGGCGATTGTTGGGGTCTAACTGCCTGCAATTAGAAGCACTCTAACTTGCTATCGGTCTGCTATTGATTGGCGAGCTGCATCTTTCAGTGGAGGATGCGGCTGAAAGAAAGGAAGAAGGGAAGG